GGCATCTTGAGCCATCGTCTTTGGCGCTGTGCTGATGGCATCTGTCGTCCTTGATGGCGGCCGTTACCTATCCACACATTATTATTCCACCTCTTCCTTCTCCTCCTCCAACTTCTCCTCATCCTCCTTCCCCTTCCGTCCTCCTTCGTCACCTCCTCCTCGCCCTCTTCCTTCCGTCCGTGCCCTCAATGTGACGTTCGCTCCTCCTTCCGTCCCTCCTCACCCTCCTCCTTCCGTCCCTCCGCCTCCTTCCGTCCTCGCCCCCAAGGTAACGTTCGCTCCTCCTTCCGTCCCTGCTCCTCCTTCCGTCCCCCGCCCTCCCCTGCCTCCCCCCCCCCGCCCGCCCGCGGCACTGCACCCGGCGGCGCCCGCCGCCGCCGGCCCAGGACCAGGTTGGCACCCCAACGGGTGGCCCGAGGCGGAGCACGGCGGACCCCACCTTCTTCTCGTGCGGCTGCTGGGAACTTTTCCCCTGTTGACTTGATGTGGTCGAAGCCGATGGCAAGGGTGGGCAACCTGCCCCAAAGGCATCTTTGCGTCCGTGACTCTTCGGTCCATCCTTGACCACTTTCGATGGTCCGCCGCGCAGGAAGAGGCTTCAGCACGGGCGTCCAAGGGGCCTGCGTCCTTACCGCGCACCCTTCCTAATAGTTTTGACGGTTTATGGGGATGCTTCAGGAGTGCGTTCTGCGCGCGCAGGCCGCCCGCCTCGAGGCGTCCCGTGATGCCCCGGCCCTGGCCCGTTGAGTGCAGCTCTGTGCGCCTCGGTGGGGCTCGATGTGCACACCGTATTGTTTGGCCGGCCCAGGAGCCGAGGAGTTCGGCGAAGGAGTTCGGCCACGGGCCATGAGGTATGGACGTTGGATCCCAAGGCAGACGCGCCCGACCATGCCAAACACATGATTTGAGCCACGGAGAGCTTCTCATGAAAAACCATCTGGGCCCGACAAGGCCCATACCCGAGAGGGGAAGTGTTAAGTATAGACGCTCCAGCGCCCCACTGCCTGGGAGGCTGTGGCGTCTATCCACCGACCTCCTTGGCCGACCAGCGAACTGAGTGTAACCTCATGAGGCTATTAATCAGCTCCCCCCCTCCCCACCCCCCTTCCGGTAAAACCATCACGCAGCCAGCACCCTGAAGCGTTACCCTGGCATCCTGGCACTTGGCCGTTGATTAGTACTCCTCTGGAGCCCCTCCCAGCGCCCAGAGGCATGCCCAGACCTCCTCTCGTCACGAGGAAATCCCGACGAGGGGTTGTTGGCCGGTTTCGATCTCTGAGGGTGTCCGCCGGGGCCGCGGGAACGTAAGCAAAGGCTGGGCCCTTCTAGACTGCCTGCGCCCTGTCCGTTTCAGCCGGCTTCGTTTCCGCTGTCGGTTAGATCGTTGTTCGATTGTGCCATTGTTGTGGACGACCTTGTTTTTGGGGTCCGTAGCCATCTTGCTTCACTTAATATCACTTTCGCACAACATGCACATAACGACGATGATGGTGATGACGGTGGTGGTGGTGATGATGATGATGATGATGATGATGATGATGATGATGATGATGATGATGAAGAGGACGGTGATAATGAGGATGACGATAAGTATGAGGAAGAGGATGAGGATGAGGATGAGGAGTTTGATATTGGTGATGCTAATGATGATGGGAATGATGATGCTGATGCTGTTGTTGTCAATGTTATTCGGCAATGATGCTGCTGATGATGATACTGCTGCTGCTGATGTTGATGATGATGATGATTTCAATGATAGTGATGTTGCTGGTGCTGATTATGATGCTGATGATGATAAGGACGATGATGATGATGATGATGATGATGATGATGATGATGACGATGATGATGATGATGATGATGATGATGATGATGATGACGTTGCTGGTGCTGGTGATGATAATGCTGCTGCTGATGATGATGACGAAGTCAATGATTACGTTGGTAATGACCAAATCCATGCTTGGATCAAGCGCCGCGCGCGTTGAAGAAACGAACCGAGCGAAGCGCTGGCCCTTCGGTCCAGACGAGCATCGGGGCCTGGGCGTCTATTCCGCGCCTCAGTGGAGGCGACACCATAAGTTACACTCGAACGCAACCAGATCACGCGTGCATAAGCCATGACAGAGCCTCATGATGCTGCTGATGCTGATGCTGATGGTGATGGTGATGGTGTTGATGGTGACTTTGGCGATGACACTGAGGATGCTGATGATGATGGTGGTGGGGCTGATAATGGTGGTGATGATGATGCTAACGGTGATGATTATGATGATGATGATGATGGTGATGATGCTGACCGTGATGCTGATGATGATGATGATGCCGATGATGGTGATTGTGGTTGATGGTTGTGAGTGGTGCCGATGATGCTGCTGCTGCTGATGATGGTGATGTGTTGGTGATGATGCTGATGATGGTGGTGGCGATGATAATGAGCATGAGGATGATGCGGCTGCTGCTGATGATGATGAGTATGATGGTGATGATGCTGATGATGATGGATATGATGATGGTGGTGATGATGATGACGATGATGATGGTAATGATGATGAGGAGGGGGATGAGGAGTTTGATGATGGTGGTGGTGGTGGTCGCGATGATGATGATGATGCTGATGATGATGAGGATGAGGATGAGGATGAGGATGCTGATGATGTGATGATGATGATGATGATTATGATTATGATGATGATGATGATGATGATGATGATGATGATGATGATGATGATGATGATGATGATGATGATGATGATGATGATGATGATGATGATGATGATGATGATGATGATGATGATGATGATGATGATGATGATTGTGGTGGTGGTGGTGGTGGTGGTGGTCGTGATCGTGGTGCGGAGGCGGAGTAGGAGCAGGAGCAGGAGCAGGAGCAGGAGGAGGAGGAGGAGGAGGAGGAGGAGGAGGAGGAGGAGGAGGAGGGGGAGGAGTGGGAGGAGGCGCGACGACGACGAGCTCAGACCGTTCCTGGGGGCGTCCTGGTCAGAATGTCGGCGCGGACCCAGCCGTGGCCGCGAGGGCGCCCCCCGAGTCTTCCGATGGGGAGCCTCGAAGGTGCATGACACCTCGGTCTTCGGTCCTCGAGAATGGCGGCGGCGACGGTTACGGCGACGGCGGCGGCGGCGGCGGCGACGCCGACGATTGCGATGGCGACGGCGACGGCGATGGCGACGGCGACGGCGGCGGCGGCGGCGGCGACGGCGACGACGACGACGACGGCGGCGGCGGCGACGGCGGCGGCAGCAGCGGCGGCGGCGATGACGACCCCGTCTCCCGCCCGCAGGGGCCCGCTCCGCCCGCTCAGGGCTCGTGGGACAGCGGTGCAGGCCATGGTGGGAGGGGGGGGGGTCTTTCGAAGGCTCGAGGCTTTCGAATGCTGCTTTGTGGCATCCCCACCATCCAGAGGGAAGTGTTGCAGCCAAGGCAGACAGGGAAGGGCAAAGTCAAGGGTAGGTAAGGGTCGGTGGCAGAGTGAATTGGTCCCCATCCGCGGGCCCCGCATCAGTCTGCGTGCCGAATTCCGGGGTGCCTGCCCCAGCATCGCAGCCAGGAGTCGTGCACTCGTTGTTCCATCGCGCCCGAGCCGATTTGCTCCTCGGTTGGTCGTGGGCCTCCGTGAGGGGAAAGGCGTCCTGAGGGCAGTCGGTCCTAGACCCTGGGGTTTTCCCCTGCTGGGCCCCTTCCTGATCCTGATCAGTGTTTTTACCGCCCTTGTCTTTTCTGTTTTTGTGCCTCAATTCGCTCCCGGTGCATCCTACCGCCTGCTGGCCAGCGTCTGGCTGTCCTTGACCACCTAGCCCCCGCGGACTTGCAAAGTGGCTTTTACCACCCGTGGAGGGCCCAGGGGGCCCGAAGCCGGCGAACATTTCCAGGGCCCGTTTCCATGCGGCGGGGAAGATCCGAGGAGGACCAGTTTAGACATCGGCGGCCTCCCTCCTCCTCCCCCGCTCTCTCCCTCCTCTCCGCTGCTCGGTATTACATGCGTTGTTCATTTTTTTGGGGGGGGGATGGCGTCCGATCCCCCCCCCGATCCCCCCCCGCAACGGTCACGATCGCACGGGGTGTGGCGGGGAGAGGCCCTCCTCACGCTCGCAGGCAGTTCTGCTTCGAAGTTCGCAGGCTGTTGCGGTGGCCACGCGCACGCTGCATTGTGCGTGCTGTGGTGCTTGCGCGCCACCGTGTTGCTCACATGCATACTGTTGTGCGCGCAAGCATACTGTGGTGCTCACATGCATATTGCCAGCGGTGCCCCCTGGACCGTCGTTTGTCCTCGCGGCGCTTTGGTGCTCACAGGCATGTTACTGGTGCTCGCAGGCTGCTGGGGCGCATGCCTCCTACCGTGGCATTGCTACGCTATGGTGCTCGCAGGCTGCTGCGAAATTGGTACGATTCTACAGCCAAGACCAGGTCATGGTGGCATTGGCGTCCACGCGACGAGGGCCCGTTGATGTGGATGCCATCTTCTCCGCACATGGCGTTCCGGCAGAAGGCGGATCACATTCAGGAAGCGGAGGGGCGAGACCGAAAGCGACGCTCTCGGGAGGCCTGCGGAGGTCCCCGGCTTCTCTGGCGGCCCCCAGAAGCCGCCAGAGGCCCCAGCAGCATCAAACACATTTGAGTGTCTTTCTCCTCCCTGCCTCCCTCTCCACGTCGAGAGCAAACATTTCGATTCCGGGGGTCGCTTCTGGCAGCCCAGGGTACCCCCCCCATCAGCATAGCCCACAGCCCCGAGTGATCAAAGATCTTCGAAGGAAGTGCCGGTCAGTGCACATCTGGGGTCGCACAGCTTTCGAAGTCGTCTTGGGGAACGCCGTAGCGACCCGCCAACATGCATCAAGTCGTCCGCAGCTTCGGCTGGCCGGAAGGCGTCAGAGGCATCGCCAAACAAGAAGGTGGGAGTGAGCCTTTGAGGTCGACTCGGCGACCCGTGGGACGCCCTCCCCCGAGGGAACGGGCAAGCAAGACGTGGTGGAGTGAATCTTCGAGAACTCGCTTGTGAGCCATGGCTCAAGCCCTTTTGCTTGAGTCCGTTTTCGCTCAAGCTGTTGCGAGCAATGGTGCTAGTTGGACTTGGGGGATTGCACGTACTGCACCGCTTGGAACTTGCACACTTTTAGCGGTGCCCGAATCTGCATTCCCATGGCAGCGCTTCCCACTTCGTAGGGTACCATGCCGAATCAGCCCTTCAGCCCAGGTTAGCCGAAGAGACGAGCAACTTCTTGTCGAGCTGTGTGAAGAGCAGCGTGTTTGTTCCCATGCCCTTGGCCCTCTTCGGCGCATTCTGTTTCAACGGTACTCTCCAGAGCTTCGTCGGGACCAGCACGGACCCATTCGACCATTCCCGCGTAGCAATACACATGCGCGACGGCATCGTCACGGTCAAGGCCGACGATACTCTGCAGATCGTTGTAGGGCACGCTACCTGCTTGAAATTGTTGATGGGTAGTGTGGTGGTGAGATTATCCCATACAGCGCGGATGGACGTGAAGACGTTGGGCATGGATTCTGAGATAGTTGACCCAGAAAGGGCAGTGGATGGAAACACCATGCGAACGTACAACGCCAACTACGAGCGCTCCGCGAACTTCGCCCGTGCTCCTTACTTTGATCCTGGACGAGGAGGAGGAGGAGGAGGAGGAGGAGGAGGAGGAGGAGGAGGAGCCTGGACCGCCGCGGGAACGATCTCCGAGGCTACCCTGCGGCTCTGCCCTCTGAACATGAGACTTCATCAGCTCTCTGCGAGCTATCCGTTGGAATTGTTCTCACTCCTCTTCCGCTGGGATTCCGCATAAGCGCTGCAGCTTCCTCTTCTCCCTCGGCCTCCCCCTGCGCTGCTCGGCCGGCGCAGCGTCTCACCCAATTCCGCACCCTTCTCGTGCCTCTCGCTGAGCACCTGCGCTGCCTTCACTCGACGGCCCCGGCGCACTGCCGGGGACGAGGCCCCGCCCCTCCCAAGGGCCGCTGTGCTGTCCCGTGCTCCTCCGCAAGGCGGGGGGCCCAGAGGATCGATCTTTTGAGACCTCGACAGGCGTTGGATACGGATACCCACCGGTCGTTGAAAGTAGGTATTTCTGGATTCCCAGATCCCAATCTACTTTAAGCGCCTTCCTATTTCAAGAATCTATATTTTTGCTGTTTTTGTGGGCGGGCGCAAACTTAATCTACTTCTAGGGTTTGGTTGTCACTTCCCTGGGTGACGCTGGTCGCTGGGGTCCCAGGATGTCGGTTCCGCTGGCGATGGATCTGAGATGCCCCCGCCTCGCGTCCTCCCCCTGCCCTGACCCGCCGGCGTAGAGTTTCACCCATTTGTGTTTGCGACGGCGTCGTCTTCACGCAATCGGGACACCGTCGTGGCCGAATGGTTGTATTGTTGGCTTCTTGCACCGTACCCTGCGTCCCTGTTCTGAATGGGTTGGGCTTTCAACTTCCCTTGCTACCAGGCGGGCGTATGAGCGCAGGTGTCGTGAAGAAGGGACCACCGAGGTCAATCGCGACGGCCACGATTTCTACGGGCCTTGGTCCATCCGCTCGGTCGCACAATTCCACGAGGTCTCTGTCATCTGATCGTGTGAGAGACTGGTCAGCAGCCAGGTGCTCGGCGCCGGGGATGACTATTGACTATTGGCCAGGTCGAAGATTCCAGAGATGCTCGACTGTTTGCCTACGGTTGCACGCCTGGTCCGAGGCACATCCAGGGAGCGCGCGCACTCGAAGTCGGTTGTTGCAGGCAAGGGGGGTGCGATCCGTGATCGGCTCAGACGGGCGTTGGATGTGCGATATGGAGAGATGAGCGGGGGTGTTGAGGATTGAGCCCGCGCGCGGCGCCCTCCGACGCACTCATGGGATTAATGGCATGCGCACCGCGACCGTCTACGACTCGAATATCCGCGGCAAGAGATGCGAGATGCCTCGCGTGTCACCCGCCGTTTGGGGCAACATGCCGTTCCAGCCTTATGCACCCGTGATCCCTTTCCTTGTTTTGAACTCGGTTGCGAGCGAGATGATTTATCGAAGACGCCTACGGCGCATCACCGCCGCCCCCTGCCTTTTTGGAAGCGCCTATGTGGCCGAACGTTGGGGCCAGACCTGCCAAGCTATCGGACCATGTGTTCCCCGAATCGGTTTGGGAAGCCTTCGGGGAACACGTGGGCATCTTGAAGGTCATCTTGGCCGTCTGGAGGCCATTTTGACCCTTTCGGGCCTTCTTGGAGGACGTCTTGGAGGGCTCTTGGGCCGTCTTGGAGGCCATCTTGAGTGTCTTGGAGACCTCTTGGGCCGTCTTGGGGGCCTCTTGGGGCCGTGTCTTGGGCCTCTTGGGCGATCTTTGAGGGCTCTTGGGCCGTCTCGGGCCGTCGGAAGGCAGAAAAGAAGCAAATGCCACAATCTTTCAAAAACCCATGGGAAATCTATGTTTTTGGCCTCTTCTGGCCTTCCTGGAGGCCCTCTTGGAGGCCTCTTGGGCCGTCTTGGGCCATTTTAGGGCCATGTTCGGCCGTCTTGGTGGGCTCCTGGTCTGTCTGCCGCCGTCGGAAGCCATTTGTGGGGCCTCTATGGGTCGACTTGGGGCCCTCTTGGAATGCTCCAGGGCCGTCTTGGAGGCCATCTTGGGCGTCTTAAAGGCCTCCTGTGCCGTCTTGGGGGCCTCTTGGGGCTGTATCGGGGCCCTCTTGGGCCGTTCTGGGGCCATCTTGGAGGCCTTTTCGGCGATCTTTGGGGGCTCTTGGGCCGTCTTGGGGCCCTCTTGGGGCCGTCTTGGTGGCCACTTGGGCCGTTATGGGGCTCTCTTGGGTGCCTCTTGAGCGACCTTTGGGGCCTCTTGGGTCGTCTTGAGCCGTCGGAATGCCGAGAATAAGCAAATTCCAAAATCCTTCAAAAACCTATTCGGGCCTTCCTGCAGGACCTCTTGGAGGCCTCTTGGGCCGTCTTGGAGGCCTCTGGGGGGCCTCTTGGGCCGTCTTGGGCCGTCTTGGACTCTCTTGGGCCGTCTTGGAGGCCGTCTTGGGCCATCTTGGGCGGACTTAGAGGCCATCTTGGACCATCTTGGAGGCCATCTTGGGCGAATGTGGCCATCTTGGAGGCTGGAGGATTTTTTTGTGCACGTTGCGGTCCTGGGCAATCCTCCCGGGACCCCGGCGGGACGGGCCGAAGCGCCAGGGGAAGTTCTCTTGGAAAAAGAACCAAAACCAAAACCGAGAGGGTCCAGCACGCCAGGCACCCCTGCGATGAATCGACAGGGGGCGGCGGATCGAAGACGCCTACGGCGAATCACCGCCGCCCCCTGCCTTTGTGGAAGCGCCTATGTGGCCGAACGTTGAGGCCAGACCTGCCAAGCCATCGGACCATGCGTTTCCCGAATCGGTTTGGAAAGCCTTCGGGGAACACGTGGGCATCTTGAAGGTCATCTTGGCCGTCTTGGAGGCCTCTTTGGCAAGCTTTCGGCGATCTTTGGGGGCTCTTGGGCCGTCTCGGGCCGTCGGAAGGCCGAAAATAAGCAAATGTCAAAATCCGTCAGAAACCTAAGGAACATCAATGTTTTTGGCCTCTTCTGGCCTTCCTGGAGGTCGTCTTGGGGACCTCTTGGGCCGTCTTGGGCCAGCATCGAGCCAACTTCGGCCATCTTGGTGAGTTCCTGGTCCGTCTGACGCCGTCGGAAGCCGTTTGGGGGGCCTCTATGGGTCGACTTGGGGCCCTCTTGGAATGCTCCAGGGCCGTCTTGGAGGCCATCTTGGGCGTCTTGGAGGCCATCTTGGGCGTGTTGGAGGCCTCTTGCGCCGTCTTGGGGCCCTCTTGGGGCCATCTTGGAGGCCACTTGGGCCGTCATGGGGCCCTCTTGGAGGCCTCTTGGGCGATCTTGGGGGCCTCTTGGGCCGTCTTGAGCCGTCGGAAAGCCGAAATGGCGCAAATGCCAAAATCTTTCAAAAACCTAAGGAAAACAAATGATTTTGGCCTCTGCGGGCCCTCCTGGAGGACCTCTTGGAGGCCTCTTGGGCCGTCTGGGAGGCCTCTGGGGGGCCTCTTGGGCCGTCTTGGACTCTCTTGGGCCTCTTGGAGGCAGTCTTGAACCATCTTGGGCGGACTTGGAGGCCATCTTGGACCATCTTCGCGATTGTTTGAGGATGTCCCGAGCGAAACGGCCGTTTTTGGAGCCGTCTTGGGCAGGAAATTTGTGAATTGGGGATTTTCCGGGTGGCCGGCGGGACAGGCCGAAGCCCCAGGGGGAGTTCTTTTGGAAAAAGAACCAACACCAAAACCGAGAGGGTCTAGCACGCCAGGCACCCCTGCGATGAATCGACAGGGGGCGGCGGATCGAAGACGCCTACGGCGAATCACCGCCGCCCCCTGCCTTTGTGGAAGCGCCTATGTGGCCGAACGTTGAGGCCAGACCTGCCAAGCCATCGGACCATGTGTTCCCCGAATCGGTTTGGAAAGCCTTCGGGGAACACGTGGGCATCTTGAAGGTCATCTTGGCCGTCTTGGAGGCCTCTTGGGCGATCTTTCAGCGATCTTTGGGGGCTCTTGGGCCGTCTCGGGCCGTCGGAAGGCCGAAAAGAAGGACATGCCCAAATCAGTCAGAAGCCGCAGGAAAATCAATGTTTTTGGCCTCTTCTGGCCTTCCTGGGGTTGGATTCTTTTGGGCCAGTTTCGAGCCAACTTGAGCCATCTTGGTGGGTTCCTGGCACGTCTGACGCCGTCGGGAGCCGTCTTGGTGGCCTTTCTGAGCCAACGGGAGACCCTCTTGGGGCGCTTCGGGGCCGTCTTGGAGGCCATCTTGGGCGTCTTGGAGGCCATCTTGGGCGTGTTGGAGGCCTCTTGGGCCCCCAAGAGACCCCCCAGTCGGCATTTGAACCGACTTGCGAGCCTCTTGGGGCGCTTCGGGGCCGTCTTGGAGGCCATCTTTGGCGTTTTGGTGGCCTCCTTGGCCGTCTTGGGGCCTTCTTGGGGCTGTCTGGAAGGCATCTTGGGCCGTCATGGGGCCCTCTGGGAGACCTCTTGGAGGCCATCTTGGCAGTCTTGGGGGCATCTTGGAGGCCATCTTGGGCCATCTTGGCCGTCTTGGAGGCCATCTTGGGCGTCTTCGAGGCCTCTTGGGCCTTCTTGGGGCCGTCTTGGGGCCGTCTTGGGGACCTCTTGGGCCGTCATGTGGCCATCTTGGAGGCCTCTTGGGCGATCTTGGGACGGCTTTGGGGGCCTCTTGGGCCGTCTTGGACCGTCGGAAAGCCGAAAATGCACAAATGCCAAAATCCTCCAAAAACTGAAGGAAAACGAATGATTTTGGCCTCTTCGGGCCTTCCTGGAGGACCTCTTGGAGGCCTCTTTGGCCCGTCTTGGATGCCTCTTGGGAGTGTCTTGGGCCATCTTGGAGGCCTCTTGGGAGCCTCTTGGGCCGTTTTGGGCTATCTTGAGGCTATCTTCGGCGGTCTTGGGTGCATATTGGGCCGTCTTGGAGGCATCTTGGGGCCATCTTAGCCGCCTTGGAGGCCATCCTGGCCGTCTTGGAGGCATCTTGGAGGCCATCTTCGGCCATCTTGAGCGAAAAAGCCGACGAGATTGGGGAATTCAGCGCCTTCTGGGTGGCCGGCGGGACGGGCCGAAACCCCAGGGGGGGTTCTTTTGGAAAAAGAACC